CTCTTCACCTCATCACCAATGACAGGATGAGATTCTGTCATGTGCTCTGCTGAAGTCCAAGTATATCATGCTTACAGCACTCTAAACTACAGACCATCTTTATTCAGCTGCCAAAATGATGTTCCTCCCACCTCCAAAAAGAGAATCAGTGAACTCTGAATACAGACTGAAGTATACTTCTTTTTGCTATCTTTATTTTTAGTGTTTTGTTTTTTCTTTTGCAACATGGCTAATATGGAAATATGTTTTGCATGGCCTTCCATGTATATTTGGAATGAAATTGTTTGCCTTCTCAAGGAGAGGGAAGGGGAGCAAGGGAAGAAGAAAATTTGAAACTCAAAATTTTTAAAAATGATTGTAAAAAAAAACTTTACATGTAATTAGGAAATATCTAATAAAATAAAAAAAATAATTTTTTAAAAAAATATTCTCCCTAAAATATCTCTGATCGTATTATCTTTTTAGTCAATAAACACAGATGGCTCCACATTATTTCCAGGATCAAATATCAAATCTTTTTGTTCAGTCATTTTCAGACATGTCCAACTGTTACGTAACCCCATTTTGAGGTTTTCTTGGCAAAGATACTGGACTAGTTTGCCATTTCCATCCCCAGCTCATTTTAGAGAGGAGGAAACTGAGGCAAGCAAGGTTAAGTAACATATCCAGGGTCACACAACTAGTGTCTGAGGCCAAATTTGAATTCATATCTTCCTGACTCCAGGCCCAGGACTCTATCCACTACACTACCTAGCTGCCCTTGGCTTTTTTTTTGTATGAACTACCTATCCTGTTTTTAAATTTTATTTTTAATATTTTACATTTTCCAATTACATGTAAAAGCAATTTTAACATTCTTTTAAAAAAAATTTGAGTTCCAAATTCTCCCCCTTTTTACCTCCCCTCTCCACTCCCTGAGACGGCAAGCATTTTGATATATATGTGCAGTCTTACAAAACATGTTTCCATGCTAATCATGTAAAACACAGACAAAAAAAAATCCCCAAAAAGTAAAAAACAGTATGCTTCAATCTGCATTCAGACTTTATTAGTTCTTCCTCTGGCGATAGATAGCATTTTTCATTATAGGTCCTTCAGAATTGTCTTGGATCTTTGTATTGCTGAGGATAATTAAGTCATTCACAGCTGATCATCATACAATATTGCTGTCACTGTGTATGATGTTTTGATTCAGCTCACTTCACTCTGCATCAGTTCTTGTAAGTTTTCTAAGTTTTTTTCAAAGTATTGTGCTCGTCATTTTATAGCACAATAGTATTCCCTCACAATCATAAAACACAACTTGTTCAGTCATTCCCCAATTGATGGGTATCCCCTCAATTTCCAATTCTCTGCCATCACAAAAAGAGATGCTATAAATGTTTTTGTACATATATGACTTTTCCTTTTTTTTTTTTAATCTCTTTGGGATTTAGACTTACTAATGGTATTACAGGATCAAAGGGTATGCACAGATTTATAGTCCTTTGGCATAGTTTCATAGTGCTCTCCAGAGTGGTTGGATCAGTTCACAATTCTACCAACAGTGCATTAGTGTCCCAGTTTAACCACATTCCCTCCAATATTTGGTATTTTCCTTTTCTGTCATATTAACTAATCTGATAGTGTGAAGATCATTTTGATACCCCTACTCAATTTAATCAGTATTGTTTCAGTTCATTGTGATTTAATTGGTATCAGTGATAGTGAATTAATCAGAATAGAATTCAGTTTGTTAGTTATTTTAATTAATGCTGTTACAATAAGTTATCATTAATCCACTATATATTGATGGTTATTTTAATTGCATTGGATTTATCAGATAGATTCATACCATTTTTAGTTAGGACTGTTAAAAGGATTAGTACTACCTCTCCTCCTTCGCCCTTCTAAATGTACTGTGCTTGAAATAAGGTTCATAAGCCTCAGCAATCCCCCCTCACTCCTATGAATCACTCCTGCCACTTCTAAGTGCTCTAACTTCCTTGGTGCTCTAGGATTACTGTTGGTCAAACATTAGTGTCTGATGGCCTATGAAAAGCCCCTGCTGAGACAGCCTATAGCTGATGACCTGAGAAAAGACTGCTGACAAAGTAGTTGTGGTTGATGGACATTGTCCTTAGCCAATAATGGGAGTTCCCCAGTTCTGAAGATTAGCCTATCAGGAGTCTCCATGCTTCTGAAGGAACCTCCCCAGGACCAGGAGATTTTTTTTTTTTTAAGACAATTGGGGTTAAGTGACTTGCCCAGGGTCACACAGCTAGTTAAGTGTCAAGTGTTTGGTCTGAGACCAGCTTTGAACTCAGGTCCTCCTGACTTCAGGGCCTGTGCTCTATCCACTGCGCCACCTAGCTGCCCCACCAGGGGACTTTCCAAGGACTCCCCAAGGTCTATAAAACCACCTCGGCCCCTGAGCATAGGGTCCTTGACAGTGAGGAAGGTCTGGGACACAACTGCTTAGGCACCACTGGTTTCCCTAAGCATTATCCCTTGATCATGCTCAGAACTCTACGTCAGTGACTTTTGTAAATTGGAATTTTGTGGCCCACAAAGGCATTGAGGTGGTACCTCAGAGTTGTTTTAACTGCATTTCTCTACTCAATAGTGATTTGGAGCATTTTTTTTTCCATTACTATAGTTTCGATTTCTTCATCTGAAAACGGCCTGTTCACATGCAGGTTTGGTTTATAAGTCCTTCACAATTTGGCCCCTTCCTCCCTTTCCAATCTTTTTATACTTTACTCCCCTTTACACATTGTGTGATCTTGGGCAAGTCACTTAACCTGTTTGCCTTGGAGGCAGCTAGGTGGCTCAATGGATAGTGTATTGGGCCTGGAGTCAGGAAGAACTGAGTTCAAATCCAACCTCAGACACTTGCTAGCTGTATGATTCTGGGCAAGTCACTTAACTTCTGTTTGCCTTAATCCACTGAAGAAGGAAATGAAAAACTACTCCTGTATCTTTGCCAAGAAGACCCCACAGACAGTGTGGTCCACCAGATCATGAAGTCAGACACAAACCACACCCTCTGTGATGCAGCATCATCTCCCACATGACAGTCCATTCTCCTGACTCCATCCATTTTCACTGTCCCTTATGCCTGGATTTGCTCTCCCTCAGTTGGATTCCTTAAGGTCTCAGCTCAAATCCCACCTTTTTGCAAGACGCTTTGCCTGGCTCCTCTTCCTGTCCCCCCACCTCACAGCAGACAGTGCCTTTGAGACTACCTCCCATTTGTCCCAGGTGTCTTATACGTACATACTATTTCCCCCCCATTTGTCTACTCCATTAGGTGAACCCCTTGATGTAAGGGGCTTTGTTACTGCCTTTGTCTACCCAGCACTCAGTACAATGCCTTGCACAAAGTACATGCTCCTTGTTCAACTCTGATTAACACAATTACCCCACAGTTTCAAAGGCCTTAAAATAAAACATGCTGCCCACCTCCAGATAGAGAAGTGAAGGACCAGGTGCAGATAGAAGTTTATGTTCTTTTCCTTTTTTTTTTTTGGACAAGGTCAATGTGGGCATGTTTTACATGACTATATCTACTTGTAATAGGTTTTTGTTTTTTTATCAATGGGTGAGGGAGAAAGGGAGAGAATTTGGAACTGAAAAGAAACTTTTTTAAAAGTATGAATTTTTTAAAAATGCATATGAACTAACCTGGCATTACTTGTTCTTGTCAGATATGTTGGTTCTTAAGTAATGTTTCTCTCTACACACTCACAATCCATCCACATCTTAACAGTAATCGTAGTGTTTTGATAATGCTATATAAATATTAGCTATAATTATGATCATGCTTGTAGATATTTGCCAATCTCTGCGCCTGACATACATCAGGGGCTCAGCAACCACATCTATCAGTTCTGTCGGAACCCTCTGATGGAGCTTTCCTGGGCCCAGTGTCTTAGAACTCCCTGAGGGCATATTGCCCTAACATTTCCTTTGTTTTTTATTTCATTCCTTCAGTTCTGCAGAGAAAACACAAGCTAACAAACACTATTTTGCCTTTCTGCTATGTTGCTGAGCTCCCTCTTAGCCAACATAGATTAAAAAATGACCTTTTTGGTGCCTTTGGTGTCCATCACCAGCCTCAGCTTCTTCCATGCTGCTTCTCTTACAGAATTTGCCATTCCTTGGCATTCATTACCTGCCCTATCTTCTTTTTTCTTTCTTTCATTTATCTTTTTTGGTGAGGCAATCAGAGTTAAGTGACTTGCCCAGGGTCACATAGCCTAGTAAGTGTCAAGTGTCTGAAGTCACATTTGAACTCATGTCCTCCTGACTCCAAGGTTGGAGCTCTATCCACTGTGCCACCTAGCTGCCCCCCCCCCGTTACTTTCTTAATAGGTTAGTCCAAGTGCTCCCTGTGAATCTATACTGACCTCTTTAGACAAGTTCCATTTTCCTCCTAGGAATCGTTTCTTTTTATATTTTGAAGTTTTATTTTTTGAGGGCTTCCCATCCTTTTCCGGATGAATTCCCCTATATATTTTTAGGGAGTTGGATTACCTCTCCCCAGTCTCTGAGGCTTTTGAAAACTGCTTTCCCTCAAATTAAGACTAGTTTGTCAGACACCACCAGCTTTGCTTGTCCCCAAAGTTTCTACCTACTACTTACATTTCAGCAACTAGTTCCTCCTTGTTGGATATTAAAGATTTTTCTATACTGTGTTTTGTATTAAAGTGGGGTAAAATGGCCTAGTTTCCATTTTCATAGCATGTTCATTTGTGTTTCAGGTCATCATACAACTCCTTGTTTTAGTCAGTTCATTAGGTATTCACTACCTATCTTCCTCTTCTTATGTAAAAATATTTCTTTTCCCTCTGGAGCAGGGGAAAATCTCCTTGTAATTTAATATAAATTATTTCTTTAATAATGAAATATAAATCTGAAGAAACTAGGTGTCAGTTAGCTCCCCTCGTCCCCAATTTTTGTAAACTGGGATTTGAGTTAAAAGTCGTAAGAAGGACCCACACGGAAAAACCACCATCGAATGAATGACTTTTTTTTTTTAATTTTTAAAAAAGAGCACTTTCCACAGCACACTGCAAGAATGTCACACAGCAATGGTTTGCTGCTCTTTGTAAAACAGGGTATGTTATAAAACCAAAAATTTTTAAATGTTAAAGGTTTTCAAAATTAGATAGTTGTCTTAATTTATACAATGCATTAAATAACCAGTCATCTTAAAACCCTTGTCAGAGTACTAAGAACATGTTTCAGAAGTAATGAATTATCTATCAAAGACTGGATCTCTCTAGAATTCAGCAAAAAGCAACACAAAGGATTTCTTTTACTAGGAAGGAAAAAGGAATCATCAGGTTCATTTTTCAAATGTAGTAGAGTTTTTAAGTCTGAATATTTAATTTTTACTTTTTTATTTCAAGAAAAATGTAATTTATGTTAACACAGAACCAATAAGGGTTTTAGAAGGTGTTCCAATTTTACCTAAGTTCTGAGAAAATAGCAAAGATGCAGATAATGAACTTCACTGTCAGCCCAGGCATACAATCGATTTTCTTAGAATCTGAAATTAGTCAGTGCTGAACATTCTGTTGAAACTGAGGTCAAACAGTCTGTCCTGGTTTATGTAAATTGTAGTACCTGGAGTTGCATTCCGCTTTGTTTACTAATATGATTACTTCCAACTGTCTTCCAGTTAGCTTGCTTAGAGCCACTTCAAATAAATGGGTGCCTCTCAACTTCACACAGTTACAATTGAGCAAAGTGTAAAATGTACTGTATTTTTAAAATAAAAATTTCACCACAATATGTAAAACATGGTTAAATCTCAAATTCTGTCATCCCAAGTAATTTAAATTTTAGTTCTAAGGGTAAAATGCAGGTACGTTATCCTTATCAAATTAAGCCTAAAAGTAGAAAAACCAGAAGTTAAGAAATTTGTAAAACATTCAAGTTAAACCTCTTGGATATAATGTGACTTGGAATTATTCAGGAACCTACGATGCTTTGCCTTGAAGAGGTGCGAGTCTGAATCAGATTTTCAATTGTACCAATGGACACACAGCTAATGCCTCTTTCACACAAGTCATTCCAAAACAATTTTCATTCATCACTTTCACTAAGGAAGACCCACATTTCCCTTTAGAACCACGACCAAGTACTTCGTTTGGGGAAGAAAAATTGAGAAAACTGAAAAGAAAAACTGAGAAGAAATTCTGCTAAAACTCTCTTTTTCCAAATATAGCTGTCCTTTCTTCATACTTAGATATGTTACCTAAATTTAAAAAAATATGCACCAAAACACTTATGCCCTGAATCATGCAAAAATCATGTCTACTTCAGCTGCAATAACCTAATGCAGCTGAAGAATTAAATTAGCCCAATCATATAATAAGAGGTAGTGACATTCTATTCTTACAGTGCCAAGCTAAAAACCCCACACATCTGGCACATGGGTCACCAAGGAAAAAAAACACAGAAGCACCATTGTACACTCCTCGTATTTCCTTTTTTGGTATTTCAAGTCACCCACAATTCCACTTGCCACTGGCAGGTGACAATCACCACTGCACCAACACGGTTAGAGGCAGCAAGTGTTGGTGTTATTCATCACATGTTATCGGTGGGTCTCCGTCATCTTTTAAAAATGAAGCAGACTTCCTTCCATTCTTCTGAACGTGATCTTCATTCATCTTCTCCAAAGCTTCTATCTACAAAATTAAAATTTCAAATGTAAAAGAGACTTGTTAAAACACTACATCTGATGTTACAGTTCAAAACTACAAACACTTCAGACAGGCCAGCATTTATGGAGGGCCAATTCCAGCCCATGCCTAATTATAGGATAATAAAGGCAGTAGGGGTGGAGTGGATAATGGACTCAGCACTTCTTAAACTGTGGGGTGCCATCCCGTACGGGGTTGCAAAAAAATCTGGCCATAGTAAAGGGTTTCTGAATGCACAACAATCAAAAATTAATTCAAAATGAAACGCTTCATGAATCCAAGGTGTTTCTGGCAGCTTCTCTCTCTGCAGGTAGACTGGCAGCTGATATTTTGAATATTCACAACCTGTCTTCCAATAAAGAAATAACCAATGCTATTCTACCCAAAAGAGAAATAGCTAAGCTATGCTACCTAACATTTTACATATTTACATTACAACTTATGGGATTTTACAAAAAATAAATTTGCAGAACAATGGTTAATTAAGTTTTCCCCTTAAGAAGATACACCTCTCAATTATCTAGGAGTTGATGAATGAATCTATAGAATATTCATACAAATAGTTCAACTATTTGAAAGCACTCAGTGCTTACTACTAACTAGAAATATTAAGATATCATCTCCCTAACTTACAGCTGACCATTTTTGGCAGAGAACCTGAACTGGTTCTTCCCACACTGACACTCCACCGCCCTATTCCCTGCATTTTCTCTGGCTGTCCCTCATGCCTGAAATTCTTTCCATCCCTCATCTCTGCCTTCTGGCTACCCTGGCTTTCTTTAAGTCTCAGTTAAAATCTCACCTTCTTCAATAAGTCTTTCCTGATCCCTCATAATGCTAGTGTTGCACTGAGATCATCTCCAGTGTATTCTGTCTATCTCATCTGCACATGGTTGTTTGCATGCTGTCTTCCCCATTCGACTGTTTTTACTCTCCTTTATATTCCCAGAACTTAGCACAGTGCCTGGCACAGTAGATGCTTATTAAATGCTTGATTGGATATAAAGAGCATGTAATCTTCTGATATGTCTATAAACTTTGAAACTAGAAAATGTTACTTATACCTGTGATCTATTATGTTGCTTTCAAGTAAGTAGTAAGAGAAACACTGACTATCCACCCTAAAATAAATAAAATGAAGCAGTCGACTAGCTAATCTCTAAGGCTTCTTCTAGTTCTAACTCCTATGAAACCTATGAATAAATGAGGAAAGCTTGAACTAGGGTGATGCCATCAGAAATAGGAAAGGACAGATTTGAAAGCCACAACTACAAAAGAAGAAATGTGTTAGAACTTCCTGTTTGTTAAGGGTTTTAACAGATGGTGGAGGAAGAATGAGTGATAAAGGAGAAGGAGTCGTCAAAGATTCTACTGAAGGTGTGAATCTGTGTTACTGGTGGAACTAGTAGAATACCAAAGTCCTCCCAATGCCTTTCTTTATAGAGGGCAGAAACTGGATTTTTAGGCTTACTCCACTCGGTTTCTGCTGCTCAGCCTAGTTTCAACTCCACAGAACAAGATGCCCCCATGCTGGGTCCCCCAACCTTCCTTCCCCAACTCCCAACCCCTGATTTCCTACCTCCTTTTGTGGGTCATCTTCCCACATTAGACTGTAAGTTCTTTTGAGGGTAGGGATTGTCTTTTTGTGAACTGTATCACCTGCACTTAGCACAGTGCCTGGCACATAGCAGGCACTTAATGCTTATTAGATTAGAACAGAATGACAATTATTTCTAATGGGGAAATCTGGAGGGGTAGCTGGTTTCTGAGGAGAGTTGTTTTAGAAACACAAAGCTTAAAATGCCAGCTACAGCCAAGAAAGTGATTTGGCAGGCAGTTAAAAAGACTGAAAATTAGGGAACAGGGCAAGGGTGGATATGTCCATTTCAATCAATAGCATAAAGATAATAGATTCAGCAGAGGGAAGGGACCATGGGTTATTATTTGACTCAACCTTATGGCTTACTAGAGTGCTAAGCACATGACAGATACACAAACATTTGCTGAACAAAGAGTAGGTGGCTGAAGACTAAGTTTTGAGGGATAAATAATTTAGGGGGCAGAAAGAAGGGAAGGAAGAGGAGGTGAAAGATAAATATAGTATCTTAGAAGCTTTAAGGGAAAAGAGGAAAAGATATTTACCAGTAGCATCAAATATCACTGCCGGCTATGTTTTGGTTATTTTAGTTTCTCAACAGAGCATGTGGGGAAGGAGATTTAAAAAAAAAAATCAAACTTTAGATTTCAGACATCATCTAGTCAAATCCCCTCAGGAGGAAATGAAAATTCAAATTTTGTTACTTGTTAGAGGTCTTGAGGGAGACAAAGTTGAAATTAAAGGACAAAGTGAAGGTTTTAAATTATCTAGGGCCTATAAATATCTGTTCTGCCCTTGTCTATCATGACAAATAATTGCACAGCCATTGAAAACACTCACCTCAGCCAGGAAATCAACTTCATTATCTGCTGTTATGTTTAAGCCTGACACGGCATTGAAGAGGTCTCGTTCACCAAGGGCTTCACTTACCTCTCCTTTCTGAAAAAACTAGAAGACAAAATACAAGGTCAGTCATTGAAATATTAAAATCAATTTTTCCAAGATGAACATGTTGGGTTATAATGTACCTTCGCACTACAACTGTAATAGTAGTGTATTATTCAAGCCATAATATTCCATAAAAATTTAATTTTCTTTAAGCCTTATTTTAAATCTTTTTTCTTTCTCCATCTCTAAAATATTTAATTTGACATGTTACCTCCTTCCATAAACTATAGAACACAAGTTTAACACACAAGAAGACTTTGCTTTTCTTGTTCCTTGTTTGTCTGAATTCAAAACCCGCTCCACTAAATAGTATGACTTTGACTGAACTGACTTATTCAACAACTATCTGAGTCTGTTATCAGGTGGACAGAACTAGTCACTTCACTCCTAGGGCTGTGAGGAAAATATTACCCCTTTTAAAATGCTTTATAATTACATTCGTTATGAACAACACTCTCCTTTAACCCTCCCATCATTTAATTCTCACCTGTGATACATTTCTGCAATCTCGAAACAAGAACTCCAGACCGTGAGGATGGGTTGGCTCCACAGACTGACTAACGTCAATCAACCAGACCTAGTTCAAAGGCAAGGGACAAAGTGATTTACTATCTATATAGGAAGTTTCCATTACAACTGTGCAAATGACATTAATGGACTATGAACTTCTCACCTTTCCAGCGTGCCACAGCATGTTGTACTCACTCAAATCGGCATGGACGAGACTGCACTCCTTATATAACTGCTGCATCATCTGTGGGGGAGGGACAAGCACTTAGGGAAAGGTGTCAAATCAGTTTTGTAACTAAATGGGGGAAAAATAATTCTGATAACACTTTTATGTTCCTATCATCTTGTTGTTCAGTCGTTTTTTGGTCATGTCCCACTCTTCATGATCCCAATTGGGGTTTTCTTGGCACAGATCATGGAGTGTTTGCCATTTCCTTCTTCAGATCATTTAACAAATGAGGAACTGAGGCAAACAGGGTTGAGTGACTTGTCTAGGGTCACATAGCTAGTAAGTGCCTGAGGCCAGATTTGAACTTAGGAAAGAAGATGAGTCTTCCTGACCTGAGACCCAGCACCTCCTATCATCCTACTTTAACATGAAATCCATTTCCCAAGTGTGATAGGTACAATATCCTAAACCCCTACTCCCAACCCCAAGCAAGTTAGGTTAATTTTTCTTTTAAAACTATTGAGACCATCCTCAAGTCTTGATTAGCTCAGGCATCAAAGGCTCAAGCTGTCAACATCCCTCCTGGTCACCTGGGTACAAAGCACCCATAAAAAGTTCCAAGAATTACTTGGTTGGAGGATCCCTTAGGGCAACTCAGGCAAGGGAGCTTTCTTCAGCTGAATCAATTCAGGGCCTCCTCAACACTGTTCCCTGTTGAATATCCTCCTCCTGCTATGGCTAAGTACGACTCCTTCTGTTAACTCTTGAATGATCTCTTGGTGTTTCACTTTGTTCCAGTATTGAACCTACTCTGACAGGTGACTGGTCTAAGCCAAGTTCAGCCCAGGACACCGAGGGAAATGCAAAAACAAAAATGCTCCCCCTCATTATTCAATTAGAAAAGTAACTGATAAAAGAGTGGAGCACTGAAACATATTCTAAATTTTGTTCCCTCTTATCTATCCCCTAGCTAGCCATTTTTAAAAACATATATGTGCCAAGGGGGAAAATCTTTGGTTTTACAAAAAAAATATTTAAAGTACCCCTTCTAAAAGTATCTGCAAAAGCAAAAACATTTTTATGTTTTTAAGCTGTAGCATTTATGGTATAAATAAAGGAATGAGATACTACATTTTTATAAATATACAATAATATTAAATTTTATTTGGTTAAGTTTGGGGGATAGAATGAATACCAAATTATCATATCTCATGTTTCTCTGCTAGTAATTGCTATTGATAGAAAGAAAATATAAAAGCACCCCAGGTATTCATTTATCCAACTATTTAGAAACATACACATCTCTCTATAACTTCAGATATATGAGCAAAAAACTCCTCAAAACTACAGTGTAACATCAGCTTGTTACCTCAAAACCTGAAAATGTAGAAATGTAAAAGGAAGTTTCTTTAAAAATATAAAGGAAAATTTCAACTTACATGGAGGGTTTGATAGTAGGCCTCTTTCATGTCTTCACTACTGAGTTTTACTTCTTTTAGTTTGGGAGCTGGGACTTGATCTTTGCCAATAAAAGACATGACCAAAATGTGTTTCTTAAGCATTACAACTTCTGGGCAAGAGATACCAGCCTTTTGCATTCTGGATATGGGGAAAAAAATCATCAAGGGCAGTTTTTTAAAAGATCAGACAACTATATCTCAGCAAAAATGTATATTAAAAAACAACAACAACAACAACAAAAACCACTTGGGGCAGCTAAGTGGTGCAGTGGATAGAGCACTGGCCCTGGAGTCAGGAGGACTTGAGTTCAAATCCAGCTTCAGACACCTGACACTAGCTGTGTGACTCTGGGCAAGTCACTGAACCCCAACTGCCTCACAAAAACAAAACAAAACAAAAACCAAAAACAAAACACCCCCCCCAAAAAAACCTTTTACTTAGTATTTATCATTTTGTGCCTCATAAATTTCATCTTCTAACTTTTGCATTTAAGTAAATATATACTTCAAAAAGCAAAAACAAGTCACAACATGATGAGAAGTCACCATGAAACATATTTACTTGAGATCTATTATAACTTGTAAACTGTCCTGAGAAGCAGCAGGGTAAAACAGAAAGAACTATCAACAGATAAGGGTCCTCATTCTGGCCCTGGCACAAAACTCGCTGTGTGATCTAACACAGGTCACCGAATCTCTCAGAGCCCTAGTTTTCTTAGCTGTAAAATAAGAGAGTTGGAAACATGATCTCCAAGCTTTCATCTACCTCTAAATTGTTTAGTGAAACATAAATCTGAATTACAAATACAATGAAAATTAAAACTAACAAAATGAAAATATTCTGTCATAAAAGTTTACAAATATTTTGTATTACATCTAACACAAAAGCTTAAGAAAATCTTCAGTATCTAATTTGGTACCAATGTAAATGAAAACAGATTATTTAGCCTGTAGAAAAGTAAGCTGAATTTTAAAAAGTAGCTCAGTGAAAAAAAGGATTTATACATGGGTAAAATGCCCAGTTGCTCTACATTTTCTCAATGCAAGGAGAAAATTTTTTCATTTGGGTTTTGGGAACGTTATAACAAAAAGGAAAACATTTCACTGTGGTATTTAAAAACTCTTGTTGTGACGAGAGATCAAGAAGTTTCCTTATCTAGCAGTCTTTAAATTGACATTCAGGATGCCTAAAACAATGGTGACAGAAACCCAAGATCCCTTTTTGGCCTTTTGATTTTCTGTACCTTGTTAGATTGTGCATTTCTTTTTCTGCCCACATGCGGATGATCTTTCGTGGATTCAATTTACTGAAGCGATCTTTAAACCTGAAATCATCCTTAATGTATTTGTCCCGATTCTTGAATTCATTAAGAGTCGTTTTAAATACCTTTAGGGCACATTCTGCAGGTATAACCTTACTATCTTCTTTCCCATCTTCCCTGCTAATACATAAAGGGCAAAAAAAAGTCAAGTCAGTGCATGTTTCCAGATCCCAAGTAAGGCCTTTTCTAACTGAATATTCTAAGATAAAACAAGTCTTTGAGCAGAACAGAACTTCAAAAGAACACTCCTATTTTGAGAAACTATCAAACCTTTTTTTCCTCAAAAAAGGTCCATAAATCTTCAATCATGAAAACTGTGGTTTTAATAGACAATTTTCAGCTGGATGACAATAATTTTTCAGCAGGACTCAGAAATATAATTTCCCCCTTAATGGTTCTGATAATAAACCCAAGAAACAAATAAATGATATTTTAAAAAGAGGCTAGATTCTCATCTATTTGTAGACTAGGTGTGATAGATATAAAATAAGAGGAAAACAAAATGACCTTTCCAGGTATTTTCCAAGTCTCTGATTATATGAGCAATTCATTATTTGGTATACCTAAAACTGATAATCTGGGCCCCCTCAAGTCCTTTTTCATATTATCATCAGACTGGTAGAGTGGAAGATGCTGTGAACATGTGTATCTTTATTTCAGAATGGCCCAAAGTTTCTCATGACATCTGTGCCAGCAAGTAAGGAAAATGTGGCTTGGGTAAAAGTCCAATCACATGATCAGGTTAAAGGAAAATTCAACTGACTGAAAGCCAGGTGAATCAAATCCTCATTCTCTGTGACTCCTCGGACTAAAAACACTCCCTGGCTACCTCTTCTCTGTATCTATCCCCATTAGAATATAAGCTCCTTGAGGTCAAGGACCAAAACTTACTTTTAAAATTTGTATCCCCAGTGCTTAGCACACTGACACTTGTAGTTAGCTTTTAATATGTTTTTAATCCATTAATGGCTGAATACTCATAACCAAAAAATTATGAGCAATGTCAACCAGAAAGGATTTTCCAATGGTGTGCTAGAAGACTCTGTATTTTGTCCCAAACTGGTCAATTCTTCCATCAGCTACTTGTATAAAGACAAAAGGTGGCATAGAACAATGGCCTTAAAAATATAAAATCTTGCACTTGAGACTGATAATGAACAAAATATGTTTTGAGAGAAGTCATGAAAAGAGTTCCCATGAAAAAGAACTTAGTTGACTACAAGACAGTGTGCCAACAGAGTGACATGGCTGCCAAAAAAGCTTGTTCTATCTCACATTAGCAGAACAAGGGAAGTAACTGTCATGCCTGTCTGCCATGGTAAGACCATGACAGAAGCACTCTGAGCACGACATTTCAAGAGATCACCAGAGAGCCAAGGGTCTGGGAACATGTATGAGAAACTGTTGAAAGAACTGGGAAAGTAAGACTGAATAAATGCCATGAGCAGGTGAAATAAGTAAGGTGGCGATGAGGGCAAGAAGAGAACATGATAGCTGTTGCCTTAAAATATATGTGAAGGCAGTTACCCTACAGGCCTCTAGAAGGGAAAAATTCAAAGTATCACCTTCATGCTTCCCTAATATTGTTCCCTTACCTGAAAGGCCCAATACTTCTGTGTTTTTCCTCTCCATTTTTCTAGTTTTGAGGTCAAATTTCCTCTCCTCTTCCATTAATTCTTCTTCCTCAAGTCCCATAATACTTAAATTCTGTATCACTGGATTCAAAGGTTTTCAGTTTATACTGGGCCTCAAACTCATTCCCTCCAACCATATCAAAATGGTATTGGAAAATGCTTAACAAAATAAATTAAAGTATAATACAGACTGTTAATTTGTGGTTTTCTAAATCAATATGTGATTTTCTAAATCCTCAAAGGGATCTGTTTCTATTGAGTTTGACATCACTGATTTATACCATTTCTTTAATTACACTACACTTGTCTGTCTTAACAATTGTTAAGGTAATTATAGTCATCAGTAAAAAGGGACAAAAGGCTCTGCAGAGCATCTCTTGTAGGACTATAAGCTCCTGGGTGCCACTGGATTTCAGATACCTCAACTCTATCACCCAATTAAACACCCTGTTATACTTAATCTTCTAAAAAGGTTGCCTTGGTAATAGTATCTTTATAATTAACCTTCAAGGGCTAAGCCCATATCTTATCTCTTTTGTATCCTCAATAGCACCTATTGTAGTAATTGCTTTAAAAAAGATTGACTGGGAATATAAACCAGCATGCTCCTTGTGTTTAATTTTCCTCTTCTCTTTAACATGAAAACTAAGTATTCCCTGTCTCTGTTTATACTGAGAAAAGCAATATATTTGGGGCAGGGGAGGGGCAGCAGCCATCTAACAGAATCCTAGTGTATCTTCTCTACCTCTTGCTCTGAGGAACAGTAATCAAATCAACACTACCATTTCCTCCGGAAAGAGACCTCATGGACAGCCCTTTTTTCCCTAGCTTTGTTACTTCCCAAACCGTTAACTCCCTTCCCTGGTTACCATCTCCCTCTGTTATCTCCCCCATTAGAATGAAAGCTTAGTGAGGTGAGAGACCATCTCATTTTTTGTATTGTATACCTAGCACTTAACAGTGTTTGGCATATTGCCAAATACTTAATAAATAATTTTCTTTATTCCTTCATAATGTAAGAATTAACTGACTCTCCATAGTCCATTATTATCAGATAAGTTTTATCTGCCTCGCCTAGGTGTCATACAATTTACAGCCAACTAACTCTTCAAAACTACTCTACTTTTTCCCATACAATAGGGGCAAAAGCATGCTGTAAGCTAATGCATCTCAAAATGAAGGTACTGAAAGTTGATCTACACATATAAAATAGGTCAATATTAGTACCTCCTTCTATCTTTTGCCCTAGCAACACTTTTCCTGGAACAGAACAATGTATACAATGTATACTTTTGCCCCCATTCCCCATCTCAAGAATCACAGAAGCTCTTAGTAGTCACTTTCCCCATTTAGACTCCAGTCCCCTCTATCCCCCAAAAGGAAACCTGGTATTTAGACCAGGATTTATCAGATTTGCAAATCTCTTTGCACCATTTGGCTCATGTGAGGTTTTAGGGTGTATATATATACACATATACACATATATATGTATATATAGCTTAATGAAGTCAGAAAAATTTTCTAGCACAGGTATTATGAACTAAAAGAGTTTTATATGTAACAGAGGCTTTCAAATATTTCTCTTTCCTTCAGTTAAAAAAAGATAGTTTCTTATGAACATTTTATTTAAAAAGGGATTCTTTTACTTTTAAATGCCACTTCAATGCATCATCATAGCATGAAAGTGACCCTGGGGTCTCAAAGGCACTGCCACATTGAGCAAAAATAAGTATTAAAATATACAGAGTACAGCTTTATAAATAACTAACACTATAAGGGGGAACAAGGTGTCCTTGACCCATACAGTCTCTCTTGAGATTTTTTTTTTTTAGGATATTTTGCTTATTAGTTATTTATGAAGCACCTATTAAATCTCAGGCATTGTAATAGGGGGTAGACAGAGGGGAAGATTTGGAGTGATTCTTAATGGAAGCCAGAGAAGCTAAGAAGGGGAGGTGAGCAAGGAGAACATTCTAGGCAAAGAGGAAAATGAGTACAAGAAAGGAAGAAAAGAGGTAATATATCATTTGTAAGGAAAAGGAAGTAGGCCAAAGTGGTTGGATCATAGACTATGGGGAAATGAGTAAAGTGTAAGAATACTGGAAAGATAGGAAGGAGTCAGATTGTGAAGAGCTTTAAATACCAAACAGAGAATTTTGTATTTGACTGTGGGGAGTTGAAGGGTCTCAGAATTCATTTTAGGGGCAACTGTAAGTTAAATAACCTTTTGTGGACTGGTCTGGAAAACTAACCATCGTTTATTGATTCCTCTAACCTTTGTTTCAGAGGCTTTCCCTAATATGACAGGAGAAGCACAGGCACACTGGAAAGCGGTTGTATGTCAATCCATCAATCAATAAACAAGGATTCATTAAGTGATCATTAAGTTGTTGGGGATAAAAGTACAAATAAAGAAATACATTCTAATGGAGGAGGCTATGAGGGGGTGTATACACACACATATATGATTTATACATATATGGTTTATATATAATTGGTATATATAAACATATGGTATATATGAATATATGGTATGTATACCACAAATATAAAAATAACAAATTCAAATACATTAATCAGTAGTTAAATATAAGACAGTTTGGGAAGGAGGAAATCAGTAGTAGTGAGGGTCAGAAAAGGCTTCATACAGAAGATGGTACTTGAGTTGTGTCTTAAAGGAAGAAAAATATTCTATGAGATGGGTATCTATTCTAGGGATGTGGGGCTGCCAGTGAAAAAGCACAGAGACTGGGATGCAATGTCATGTGTAAGGAAAAGGAAGAAGGAGAGTTTGGTTGGATCAAACGAAGAACGGGGTTGGGAGTTTTCCCTCTCTGACAACTTCAGTTTTTTGGATAACAGATAATTTGAAGTACAAATTAGTAAAAATTGTTTGGAGTGAAAGCCATTCATTCATTCCTTTCAGTTCATCAAACAACACAAAGAAGTTTTATTTGTAAGATGAATGAAATAAAGCAGTTCCTGATCTTTCATGTGTTAAAAAAAAAAAAAGAATATTTTGCTTATTTACCTCCCTCCATATGCATGAAAGACAACAGATTCCTTTCCTGTACTAATACAGCCAGTGATTGTCTCCAGCATTCCAGAATTGACCATCTTGTACATAAGTAAACGTGTTTTAGGATCTACTGCTTTTTCCTGTAAAAATAAAGAATTACACATGCAAAAGATTACTCAACCATACGCCCCCAAAGTGGAAATATTTTCATACTCTTTCAAGTATGATTAGGTTTTTCTCTCTCCCACATTCTGACAACAGGTTTGGTCATTTAATTTTCTTGCTACTTAAATGTATCTCTAATGTAACTCATATGTACTACTAAAGTTTGATTATAAATATAAAAAGAGTTAAATAAAATTAATCTTTTTTTGAATGAAAAAATCCTGAAATATTCATCAGTATATAGACTATATGTTTTACTTTAATACTGAACATGTAAAAATTACAGTAAATTAGGAAATAATAATCTAGAAAGTTAAGTGCTTTTTAAAAATTATTTGCAGTTTTGATTTGAAAGGCCCAATCTTGTTAAAAAAAATTTTTGGTCCAGTCCTTTGATTTCATTCACAGAGGAACACTAAGAGAGCAAAGTCCCTTTACCAATTCAAATTGCCACCAGCTCTGCAATGCAGAGTCTTAGAGTTGCCTGGGGCATTGAAAAGTTAAGTGACTTGCCCAGGTTCACACAGTCATTCTGTGTCAGAGGCAGGAAATGAAGCCAGGTCTTCCTGACTCAAGAGACAGCGTATCTATGATATGCTGCCTCTCCTGTTAAAAGATATTACCAAAAAAAGTAAATATTCTAAAACCAAAGTGAAGTGTTTAGGCTATGTCTTTTCACCAAGGACACAAGAATTTGAGAACGCTTACTGCTGTAGAATGTTCCTTTTTCTCATGGACACGGGCACTCCGACGTTCCTCAGAGTAAGCATGTTGTTTTAAAGCGTTGAAGACCTGATTTGGTAGTTTTAAATCCATCCCAATTCCATCTCCTACCTGGAACCCAGGTGCAAACTACCAATGAAAATTTAAGATGTTATTATTGTTATGCTACAATATAAAGGATTACTAAGGTTCAGCCCTAAATACTAAGAACTTAAAACGTGATAGAAGATCTAAATAATGCAAACATTTCTTATATTTTTTTATTTCTAGGTTTTCCTATATTTCCTTGGTACTAGGGTTTACAAGACATTAGAACCCATAAATATTACACACAAAAAAACTAATATTCACTTACTACCAACTATAATAATTCTTTTCAGAAAACCAAAGTGACCAACTGTAGCATTTTTCACACTAAGATGAAACTGGTTTTCAAACTGAAAAGCTTAAGGTATAGAATTATCTACCAAGATACTTGTGATCCCTGAGTTTAAGCAATAAATGTATCATTTTGATCTAAAGTTCCCTGAAATTCTCATTTGCATTCAAGTTTTTGCAAAAGTTTCTTCTGTCAACTGAAGTGTTTTTTTTTAAATAAAAATTAAACGTTTCCCGTAAGTATTCTATATTTCTTCTTATTCAATTAAACATGCTTTTAGAACATGGCACTTTTTTGATGGCCTGAGAGCTAAGAATGGCTTTTACATTTTTAAATACAAGTGACCTGGAGACCATAGTCTTATGACCCATGTTCTAGAAGGCAGACACATATTCAATAACTTACATTTTCCATTCGTGCTGTATTCTTTCTTCCACACACTACTTCATCATGTTTGGTGGTAATATCTTTTCCTTTTCCAATAAAACCCTTTTTGGGAGTAGGAACAGGTTTAGCTATAGGTGACCAAGGCAAGGGAAACAAATAATGAACAATAACCTGAAATATTCAATATTTTAAATCTAAAAGACAGGTAAACTAAATGGTGAATTTTCAGTCACTCATTTCTAGTTCATGAATCCAGTGACAAAACAGAAAATGGAAAATAGCTGAAAAAAAAAAGAGAGCGAGAAAGAACGTAAGAAGTGAAAAAGAGGTCTCTCCCTCCTCCCTCTTCACTGATGATCTTCCACCCTCAACATACACAAAGCGAATATAAACCTGGTACCTGCTCTGTAGGGATCATGGCGAGTGTCCTGCCAGTCAACTTCATCTTCAGAGCTATCACTGTCCTCATAAGGATGCACCATTCGATAATTTTCAAAGGAAATGGAAACTTAAAAGACATAAAACATTTGAAGATTTATTTAGTAAAATGTTATACACATTTTCTACCAGCCAATGGAGTTCATACAACAGAACAGTACCTTTGCTATCTCCATTGAATTTCTTTTCTTCACGCCGAAGTTGGGCATCATATTCCCTGTCAAACTCCATCTGCAGCATCTGAGCCAGCATTAGATCACTAGAAGTATCAATATTTTCTCCAGTAACAAAAGGTCCTTCAGCAACACTATCCGAAATAAGAAAATATAAAACTCATAAAATCCTTTAAGTACAAAGATGATTCAATGTCCTCAGGAAAACCATTTTCCAGGACATAGTTAGCAATGGTGAAAGGGTAAATCCAACTACTAAATACAGCTATCCTTTCCACATCACAGGGGTTAGGGGTGCAGCACCCCTGTGATCTGGAAAATTCATGTAAAAATTTTTGGCCCTCCCTTCCTCCCAGAGAAGAAGTCTGAATTTTTTCTTTTATGGGGTGTTTACAGTACCTCATTATAAAATTTGGGTTGATATTATATTATACATATATTTTATGCATTTCTGAATTTCTAAACTTTTCGTCATCTGCTGGCCTTGATGTGTTTGTTGTCTGCGGCTTCTGCAAAACTCACAAAAAAATTCCCATTTAATTTCTTATGCCAACCTGCAACATAATGAAACCACTATGGAGAAAGTCAAGATGTGGAAGGGATGACTGTAGTACCCCTCTCAGTTCCCCCTGTGACCAATGATATAACATTTAAGAGATGGTTGGTCAGTTTGGGAGTGGAATGATGGAACAAAAAGCAAAATGGCCCATATGGAAATCCAAAGAAATGATAGCTTCACTAGTCTCCTACTCACAAAGGGAAACAATGAGAAATAGATTCACTACACATATTTTGGCCATAATTTGGCTCTACTTCACTATCCAGTATCTAAAACTGCTTTTTAGAAAAAGAAGCTCAGGGCAGCTAGGTGGTGCAGTGGATAGAGTACTGGCCCTGAAGTCAGGAGGACCTGAGTTCAAATCTAGCCTCAGACCAAACACTTGACACTTACTAGCTGTGTGACCTTGGGCAAGTCACTTAACCTCAATTGCCTAAAAAGAAAAAAAAAGGAAAGAAAGAAAAAGCAGCTCATTTTGCTCAATAAGATAAAGTCTAAAAAGAATTGTTTATATAGTCATAGATTTAGAGCTAGAAGGCATACAGGCACACGTGCTTACATGTAGTCCAACTCTTTCATTTTATAGATGAAGGAGCTGAGGCCCCCCAAAGTGGCTTTGCTCAGTGCTTAGAATGGTGCTTGACACATAATAAGCATTTAATAAATGCTGGCTTACTTTCTAAGTTTACATAGGTAGAAGGGTAGAGCAAGAATGTGAACCTAGGTCCTTTAACAATTATATCACTAGAAAATTAGGGTTCTTGGCAAATTATACTTACGAAACAGCTTCTGGAAAAGCGGCAGCTTCATCTTCTAATTGTAGCTCTTTAGCTAATTGTTCACTCATTACATCAGCCAAGGAACAAGATATTGTGTTTTGAGGGGTGCCCCAAGGACACTATAAGACAAATGAAAATTTAATTATATTTCACAATTTATAACTTAGCTTTTGTTTCTATATCATAGCATGCTTTACCAAGTAACACCAAATGTAGATTTATATCTTACAGATTGAAGAATATTCACATTTAGTAAGATAACTTCTGAAATTAAACACCTGAGTCCAAAAGCAAAATATTGTCTCTTAAAAATCAATTACAAGGTAGAAATAGTACATAATGTAATCCCTGCGACTGAGGAGTCTGATGCTAGTGGAACACTTGAACCCCAGAGTTCTGAGCTCCAGTGGACTATGCCAATTGAGTGTTTTCACTAAATCCACTACCAATATGAACAGAGGGACCACCCAACTCCCAAAAGTGGCCCAGGTTGGAAACATCAACAGGTCAAAGCTCCTGTGCCAATAGACATAGAGACTGGAGTACTTGAGGGGCTAATGCACTTCCAGACTGAGCAAAATAGGGAGACCCAGTCTCAAATCAATTATAACATTCAGGAAAAAAGAAGAAGGCCAAATATGGTAAACAAATACATATTATTGCAAGAGCTCTTCAAAAAGGGACCCTTGCAGTTCTTGACAGCTGTACCATCAGTGTGCTCTCATTTCCCACCTGCTCCTTTGGACTTGGCTCTGCTCCCAGGAACGTCATCATCAGGAATCTTATCATTCTGTGAGAGTGTATCACCTCATTAACACCCTGAGTACCCTCTTCCTCTCTGACTGGGCTCTGTGGAACAAAGAGCTCCTCCCCAAACCTCCACGTAAAGGGGGAACCCAAGTCAACCATCTCTTCATTTCTGACCTGGCTAAGCAGCTCTGGACAGATACCTTCCTCCTCCAATCCTTCCTTTTGGCTTCCTTTGCATACTGTCCTTTCCCTATTAAATTGTAAGCTCCTTGGGGGCAGACACTGTCTTTCCTTTTTCCTCCATATTTGTATCCCCCAGTGCTTAGCATAGTGTCTGGCACATATTAAGCACTTAATAAATGTAACTGACTGATATGCCCATTTTTCCTTAGAAGCCTAAATTTACCACTCCAATTTCTACTCATTATTCTTAATTCCACCCTTTGAGGCCAAGTAGAGCAAGTCTAATACTCATTCTATATAACAGCCCTTCAAACACTTAAAAGTTCTTTATCTTCAATCATTACCTGCACTCCCCCCTCCAATTCTCACCCCTTAATTCCTCTCTTATCTAGGCTAAGCATGACCATTTCCTTCAACCAGTCCTCTTATAGAATGATTTTGAGCCCTTTAACCTCTTAGTCACCCTTTCCTGGCCACTTTCCAATACATCAATGTTTTTCCTAAAATATGGCATCCAGCCATAACTGAACAGAACACTCCAGATAGAGTGTGACTAGAACAAAGTAGAGAGGGACTATTACTTCCTGTAGTAAGTAAAAATAGTGGACTTGAAGACAAGAAAACCCAAGTTCAAATTCTGCCTCTTAATGACACTTAATGGGCAAGTCATTTGACCTCAACATATCTCAGTTTCCTCATCTATAATTACTCTGTGCCTACCTCCCAGGGTTGTCGTGAGAATCAAATGAAATAATGTATGTACGGCTCTTTGCAAATCTTGAAGCACTATATAAGTGCTAATTATTATTATTATTATTGCTATTGTCACTGCTACTGCTATACTCCTCCTTCCCACTCCCAGATAACCTTGTCTCTCTTTAATGCAGCCTAAGATCATGTTAGCTTTTCTGGCTGTCTTAATCACTTTTAACTCATTCTGAGCCTCAAGCCTACTAAGATCTTTTTCAGACAAACTGCTATCCTGATATATTTCCTCCATCCCTACTCAATACCATTTTATTATATTCTGGCCAGTATGGTAGCTTGTCAAAACCTTTTTGGATCCTGACTCTAATGTAGGGGTTCTTAAGCTACAGTCCATAGACCTGAATTGATTTCAAAGGGCCTATGAACCAGAATGGAAAAAAAGATTACACTTTCATTTTCACCAATTTCTAACCAAAATTTAGTATTTCCTCTAATTATGAATGTAGGCAAAAAACATGATTACAAGAAGTGGTCGATAGCTTCACTATACTACCAAAAAGGTCTGTGATACACAAAAAGGTTAAGAACCCTTAATTTAATGTGCCATCTGAACAACTGATAAATTTATTCAAGTATATAAATACATATATGTGTACATATATAAAATCAGTCAAGTTGTTGCCTTGAGCTCTTTATGTCCCAAACTAAACTTATCTTTCCTAGCCTCTGCCCCTGTAATTGGCTCTTCATATTTGAAACTCTAGAGTGAATCACCTCTGACACCCTGGAAGTGATCTAACTAACTCTGGATCTAACTTAAGCATTTTCTTAACTTCAATAATCTTAAGAGAATCCCATGCCCATCAATTGGGACACAGCTCAAGAAGCTGCATAATGGAATATTATTGTGCTATAAGAAATGACAAGTAGGATGATTTCAGAAAAACCTGGAAAGACTTGCATGACCTGATGCACAATGAAGTGAACAGAACCAGAATGCTGTATACAGTAACAGCAACTGTCAACGACTTAGCTACTCTCAGCAATACAATGATCCAAGACAATCCCAAAGGTTAATGATGAAGCATATTATCTGCCTCCAGAGAACGAACTGATATTGACCGAATACAGACTGACGCATGCTATTTTTCACTCTTTCATTTTTTTCTTTTATTCTAGCCTTGTTGTACAAATTGACTAATATGGAAATGAACTGCACATGTATAACCTACATCTGATTGCTTACTGTTTGGGGAAGGGGGGAGGAAGGAAGGGATGGAGTTTGGAACTCAAAACTTTAAATAAAAATGTAAAAAAAAAAATTAAAAAAAAAAGAGAGAATCCCAGCTCTTTCTGAAAGGATCTCAGGCTCCCCTGCCTTTGGCACTAGGGTTTTCACCTTTAAGACTGTGCTGATCTCTAAGCCCAGGCCCATCTAGCCTTCTGCCCTGCTGCTGATATCCTGCTTCTTCTCACCTGAACTAGCATAGTCCAAACTAAGCCTCCAGGAGCTATGTTTCAAATCTCCATAGACAATTCTACACACACCATCCAACTATCCCCCCAGGTCACCTTGCCATCTGCTTCTGACCTGCTCTCCTCAGCCAGGTCAGCATTCCTTTTCTCATTACTCATGTTGACACATACTTATGTACAATCTGTTAATATTTTCTTAATAATATATGTCATCTTTGTTCTTTCTCCATCACAACCACTTAGTACATAATAGTCCCTCATGATTAGATGACAGTCTCATTGCTGGTCTAGTTGCTATTCTTTCCCCTTTCCAACATGCTCTTCATACCCACCACCAAGATTAATATTCAAAAACTAGCAATTTTATTAGATATAGATCCCCTGCAATTCTATGTACTACCTAAGTATGTGTCAACAATTTAATGCAAATATTATAAAATAGTATAGAGATGATTTAGTGGAATTGCCAGACTGGTCCAAGGCAATGTTTGTTTTTGACATTCTTCCACATTCATTTTCTCTCTTCTGGTGCTCTCAGAATTTCTAGGAATTCATTTCTCTCATTCTTACAATTAGCCAACTATCAACTAATTCTGTTCAGGAATAATCAAGACATTAGCTTATAGACCCAAAGAGGGGTATAGACATTTTTAAGGGGACTTGGGACATCACCATAGGCCAGGGATGGGCCTATGGGATCAAATTTAAACTCAAACTAGCATTCAAAGTCATCCACAACTTGACTTCCTCCTACCTTTCCAAGTTTATCTAATAATACCAATATGTCTACAATGTGCTACTTCTTTTTAGTCCCTCACTTCCTTCAAAGCTCAGTTCAAACACCACCTCCTGTGCATGAGGTCTTTCCTGATCTCCCTCTCCCCATCCTGTTAGTGCTTCTCTCCCAAAATTACTTTGTATAAACTCGTACAAATGTACGTACTCCCTGTTTTCCACAACTGAATGTAAGCTGGAGACCAACGGCTGTAAAAGATTTGCTTCTGGACTCCTAGTGCCGGGCCCATAAAAGTTATTTAAATAAATACATGATTTAGTGAATATTCTCCAAAAATCTCTCTAACAACTAAGATTACTGCTTCGTTGTTTCTAAATTTAATAAACACATTCCTACCATTAAGCATAAAGTTTCTTACTAAGAAATATTCTTCCTATTCATTAAAGGGCAAGGGTTATATCTTACTGTGTACCTTTCATCTTTTACCCTACTACCTAAGCACTCAAACAGCCAGACTAAAATGTAATTTTGTAGATGTGACCACAGACAAATCCAAATACATCATCTCCACCCATTTAATACAGCTTATAAAAATATTTTCTCTAAAAATTAGAGCAAATTTTGTCTTTCTTCACATTCTTTGTCAGCTTCATTACAGCAATTGTCTGGCTTAACTAGTATTTATTAACACTACTATACTCGGATTATTTTTAAATTGAGTAACTCATCAAAAGAAATACACAAAATTAATTAACACACTTAACCTTAAGCAGAGATTAAGCAACAAAGGAACTTCTGTTGGGGGGAGAGGTGGGGGAAAGAGCCTGCTTTTCTGAATTACTTTCAGGAAAACCCTCCATCACAATTTTTCATTTTATCTCTTACTGTCCCCATCTTCTCCACAGCTATCTTGCTGGCTTGGGTACCTTTCCTTTCCTCTAGCTCACCAGGTCTGGAATTATAAAAAAATCAATTCCGCCAGAGTTCCTGGCTTGAGGTGTGTCAATATACTCTCTAGGGCTCACCTCACCATCCCTGTAACTTTCTGGACCAAAATGCCCTTCTTTGGATCCTACTTCCCTACCTGTGTTGTGCCCCACCCACATAGGGGAGTCAATAACACCCAGTAACATAAAGCTTCACTTTGAAAAGCAGGAACCCTCTGGTTTTGATTTGTATCTCAATTTCTTGGCAGGAAGCAATGGGCTGCTTAATAAGCTGTAAGTGCTTTTTCAGTCATTCATTCATGCTCATACATAATACTGTGGGATAATACTTCTTTCTTCCAAACACAGGAAAGTATGTTTTACGTCAATTCAATATTTGAAAGGATTAAGTGTTTAATTTTTCTTTGTATTATTTAAAGACTTTAAGTGCTTTCCTGAAAAATGTAAAGTCATGAGAGACTAAAAATACCATCTAGTATCTCTTCTATACTACTAGTGGCCTTGATGAATAGGTCCAGATACCTAATGTAAAACTCACTCTATCAGTCAGCAAACAAAAAAACTCACTAACATGGTTCAGATGAAGCTAAGGTGATTCTTGTTACTTTAAAAAAAACTTCTATAGTCATTTAAATGAATACAAACTTATTTTCTTTAAATTCACCTGTAGCTAAATGTTGTTGGTTTTTTTTCACCAAATTATTCCTTCCTTTTAGGAAGATATGTAACCTAAAGTCCCATATAAGATCCTCTAAGCGATCACGAACTCAAAGTAAATAAAAGCAACTTTTGAAACCAGAACTTTTATCTCTTCACCTATTTGTTGGCAACAAAATCAGTAAACTAAAACACACACACACACACATCACAACCTATATGAGGACAGAAAGAAATGGTGATTCATTCTCCTATACAATGATTCATTCTGGGTTTGTTTAATAACCCTGTTTGACAACGGATCATGAAAAGAGAAAATGTGAAATGTTAAGTATTAGGTTTCAGCTCATAAGTAGACGACTCACATTGAAAACTAAGAAAACATCAGTACTTCTTTGGCCCTGGATGGGGAAAGCCTAGTGCTACCTTTACCACGTCGACGTTTAAAAAGAATTGTGAAGGGCCCCTTACGCTTGCTGGGAGGGAGGCAGGAAGAATTCTAGCAATCACTGGCCACTACAAACATCAGACCGCCAACCCTCGGGAGAGCTGGTCTATAATTACCAACGTTTCCAGCTCCTTTCTCAAAACGACACAATGGAGGGGGAAGCGATTACGGAGAGCTTCAAAAAGGGAAAGAGTTGGGAAGGCCCAGAAGCCAACGCTCCGCAGTTTCGAGGAGAGAAAAAAGCCTCCCCATTACAGGCACACGAGGATCTCGGGCAATCGCGGTTTTCTCTTCTCACTCCAGCTCATCTCCGCCCCCCTCCCCAGATCTCCGTCCCGACGGGGAAGCCCCTCCCCCATTAGCCTCTCCTCCTTTTCTAAGAACCAAGGACTCCCTCACATCTTCGCCTGAGGGAAGACTTCCGATTCAGGGTCTCTGAGACTCGAAGGAGGGGCTGCTGTTTCTGGGAGGGTCGTCGCCACCATCCCCAGGCTGCTAACCCTCCCCGCCCCTCACCTTGTTAGGCCCCCAAGCCGACCCTGGCCTGGGCTCAGGAGTGGTGACACCGACTAGATCCATCTGCAGGGGATGCAGGTACAGAGAAGCAAGCGGCAGAGAGAGCGAGCACCGTAGAGATCTAGGACGAGGAGGCGGAGACAGCGGCGAGACCCGGTCAAGTCAGCGGCAGCGGGAGCCGGAGGCTGAGGTGACAGATGGCGACGGCGGAGTCCGGAACTGAACCTCTTCTCTTCCGCCCTCACCCCGGCGACGATCGCTTCCCATTGGCCCTCCCTCTCAGCGCTTTCGCTTACGTAAGCGCACCTCCCCCACCCCACCCACTCAGGAGCGTGACCTCACTTCCGGCTCAGACTCTGGGCTGAGGGCCTTTGCTCCCTAGTTGTTTTCTAATCCCCAGGACAGTCTTAGGGGTAGGGGAAACGGGTACTGGGGGAGGGGGAAGGGTGTGTCACCTCTTGGCAGCTGCGGCCTGATGTCATTGCACTCATTCTCTCTGTAGATTCCTGGGGAGGGATATTAGGGACACCGTTGGACCTGCCTAAGCCACCCACTGAAATTGATCTGAAATTGATCAGTGACTCAACAGCATCTCATTTATCCCAGTATTGATTTGGGGAAATAGGCCTCTATTAGAAGAGGGTCAGGAGGAGCTTTGGAGGTGATGGTTGTCATGTTTCCCCTACATATGTCCATAGGATACCAAGATAAGAAAAGTCCCAGTATTCAAGAGAGTATCTGGTCCCAGGTATCCTGTCCTTAGTGATCACAAACAGGAAGAATGCTGGTCAGTTTCATCTGGTCCTGTAGTTGCTGACACAGGAAGGGGGCATTTTTAGTTCACTCAGAGAGAAAAGATTAATTCAGGTTTTTGGCCCTTATTGGGGCTCATTTGATCTTAAGCGATTATCATGGTAGAACACTTTAAAAATATTCAGAGGGACTAGAGCTGGACAGGAGCTAGGTCTGAGTCTGCATTTTGCCAGGGTAACCATTGAACTCTTAGCCTGTACTAACCAGAATTCATTCACTTTCTTGCTAAACCCACCCCTCCTCCAGACTATTTCACTTTGGGCGGAGCCAAGAGATCTCTCCCAAAGCCCTCCAAATACCTAAAAAAATGACTCTAAACAAATTCTAAAGCAGCAGAATCCACAAAAAGACGGAGTGAAACAAATTTCCAGCCAAAGACAGCCTGAATGTTTGATGGGAAAGGTAGAGGAGCGCAGTTCGCAGCAACCCTGGAGCAGGCCTCAGAGGACTGAATCTCAGGCAGCTGTGGCGGGTTCCAGACTTCTCAACCCCGAACATCAAAGACAACTTAGAAGGTCAGTGGGAAAAGTCTTACCGAAGTGAGAGAGGAGAGAGGAGCTGGGTCTCAGCTGCAAGTCTCCAGTGTGGCCTGGGGCCTCGGCTTTTTTCCTGAGTTTCTGGCCCACAGACGAGGGGGAATCAAGTGGCTGATCAGAGAGGGATTGCAGGGATCTCTTTGCCAGAGCTGAGGCAGGAATCTCTTGCTTTACCAGTGCTTGGATCTGGGTTACAGTTCTGAGGGGCGGTCCTGGGGCAAGGAGGAACGCTGGTGGGGTGGAGCTTGTTGTGGCAGTGGAGAGGAAACACCCTCGCCCCTTATCATACCACCTTAGAAGAACTGAAGATTTATAGGTCCCTAGAAATACCTCTGAAAACAGCTGTCCAAACCCCTGAAGCTTGGGACAGTACACTCTTCACATTGGAAGCAGACTTTTAACTTAACAAAGAGTTTAAAACTCATGTAATTGGCCATGATCATGAGTAACCAGCGCAAAAAGAGTCAGACTATATTATCTTACTTTGGTGACAAAAAAGATCAAAACATACAACCAGAAGAAGACAACAAAGCCAAAGCTCCTACATCCAAAGCCTCCAAGAAAAGTATAAATCAGACTATTTTACTTTAAGGCACCACTCTCAAGACATCCAGGTTCTCCACCTCAAAGTCATCCTTTGCCCTTTTTAATCAGAAGTCCTGAGTTTAAATCATTTAATTATAAATCCAAGTTTTTCCTGTTCCTACCCATGTGACTTCGGGTAAATCACTTAACCTTTAGGGGATTACAGGATGACCTTTAAGGTTCCCACTGGTTCTGAAACCACGAAACTTCTTCTTGCCTCAGTAACTAATCAGTTGCCAAGAATCTAGTTTGGTTCTCTCCTCACTCCACCTCCATATTATATCTTGAACAGGTCCTTGGACATCCTCAATTCAAGCCCTCCACTCAACTCTCACCTGGAATATTGCAATATCCTCCTAATTGGACAACCTATGTGCAAACCCTTCTCTTCAGTCCATCTAACACATAGCTGCCAAATCAGTATTTCTTTCTCTTTCTTTCTTTCTTTCTTTCTTTCTTTCTTTCTTTCTTTCTTTCTTTCTTTCTTTCTTTATTTATTTCTTTCTTTCTTTCTTTCTTTCTTCCTTCCTTCCTTCTTTTCTTCCTTCCTTCCTTTCTTTCTTTCTTTCTGAGGTAATTGGGGTTAAGTAACTTGCCCAGGGTCACACAGCTACTAAATTTCAAGTGTCTGAGGCCGCATTTGAACTCAGGACCTCCTGGACCAGTGCTCTATCCACTGCTCCACCTAGCTGCCCTCAAATCAATATTTCTAAAGCACTAGTCATTCCATTCTAAAAATCTGAAGTGGCTTACATTTGCTTCAGATAAAATACAAACTCCTTTCTCTGACATTTGAAAATCTCCACAATCTGGCCTCCAATCTTATTTCATATTTTTCCCCTTCCCACTTTAAAACCCTAATCTAATTGACTTCTAATCCAATCTAACTGATTAATTCTGGTCAAACTGGCCTACTTGCTGCTCCCCAAACTTGTGACTCTATTGTACCTTCTATGCCTTTGCAAAAGCTGACCCCTATGCTTGCCCTGTACAGTACTTCCTTTCTCTTCTCTTTCTGAACCCTTAGCTTTCTATAATGCTCAGCTCAGCTGCCACCTCTTATACAAAGCATTTCCTGAAATTCTCAGTTAGTTTTAAGTAACCTCTTACTCCTCAAACTATCTCGTATGTACTAAGTATATATCATATTCTATCAGGAGAATGTTGTTATTGAGGGTAGGCACTGTTTCAGAGATTTTCTGATCTTTTGTATTCTAGCCCTTTGCATAATAGCTTGCACATATCATATGCTTAATAAATATTTGAACCCATTGAATTGAAATGGGTTGAATCATGAAGTTACCAGACCAGATTCTGATGGTTTATAGAAGTCCTTTCATATTGGACTGTCACTCTTTTCATTAATTGTTGAAACACAGAATAGAACCAGGGACCTTTGTCCCTTTGTCACCTTTGTGGAGAATAATAATAGTCAAATACTGTCCCTGATGACTACAGGACTTTTCTACTCTTGGCTCCCCTGCTTCAGAATTTATTTCAAAACTTCCACGCTAAAATGTTGTAGAATATCAGCCAAAGCAGGATGGGGGTAGGGGTGAGTGGGAGAACAAGCCTGATGAATCACGTTCATGGATTTGTGGGGAGTGGGAGTGGGATTCCCCTAGGTATCCCCAAGCAGATTGGGTGTGAGAAAATTAGGAGTGAAAGATATAGGAAAGTTTGGGAAATGTGGGTGGAACTAGAAATGAGATGAATCTCGGAAAGCCTAAGGAGAAGTAAAAGAAAAAAGATGATCAACCAGGTGAGGCTAGTGAATTTAGGATGGAATTCATGTAAAGGAGAAAAAAAAAAGAGAGAGAGAAACAGAAAGAAGGAAGAGCCTAGGCAGAGTAAAGCATAAAATGTGTAGAGGAATACTTCAGAGAGCAAATTGGAAAGGGCAGGAAATTGGAAATCAGAATTAGGATAGTTCTGGACTGTTTACTTCAGACTCGAAAAATTATACTTTTCAAATATTGTCTTGTCAGCTAAGATAGCATCTACCCATAATCGCTGTCTATGAAAAGGAAAAAAATGAGTGTGTTAGAAGATGCTCTCATTCAAAGAGTCAACGATGGAGTAAAGGGCCATTTTAATGTGAAATTGAGCAGATAGCAGCCATTGCAAGGAATAATCTTCAGCTTGTAGTCCCTATTGTGAATTTTGATGAACTCTCTCATGGACATCATTGACAAACTATTTTTTTTTTTTTAAACAAAGGGTAGGTCAAGAATCTGCTGCCTAAACAAATCAAGTCAGTGTACCTTCTGGTCATTTCAGCTATGGTGTGAAATTTGAAAAGTCTCATTATCTCATCAGGGTTAAGAGTTTTGGACTTTTTCCATTCATTTATTTAATAAATATTTAATGCCTAATCTTAATTATAAAAAAATCTCAAATTCCCCTCCAAATAGAAAGCTACCTCAGAATTGATCTAGGAGCAGGGAAGCAGCTGACCAGCCCAGAAGGAAAGGTCAGTCTCACTGGAGTGGGAGGGGGAGAGAGGTCCAAGAGCAGCAGCAGCAGCAAAAGCAGCAGCCAGAATCACAGCAGGGGGCCTGCAGCAAGGCAATCCACCAGCAGCCCCCCTCCTGCAAACCACCAGCCTCTATGCAAGTGAGCAGTCTGTACGGAGCAGTGAGGCCCCATCCCCTGCGCAAGCCACCAACAAGGCTTTGACCCCATTGTTAAACATCAGTGAAGCTGGCCTTGGGGCTGGCCAACAGTGAGACCCTGCTGCTGGGACCTACCAGCAGAGAAACCCTGCTTCCATAGCAACCCAGCAGCAGAGTCCCAAACTTGGAGCAGGCCAGCAGCTAAACCCCACACCCAAGGCCGACACAGAGGTCTCACTACCCAGTAAAAACCAGAAGGGAAACCTGCCTTTCAGGAAAAGCAAATCAGCTAAACCCTGAGCCCAGTGAAAGCCAGCAGTAAGACCCAGAGGCCCAGCACAAAAATCTTGGGACAGTGTAGGACCGAGCCCAACTTTCACATAAAAACACTAAATCACCAGAAAAGGCAGAAAAAATGTGCAAAAAACAAAAACAAAATGAAACAAAAAAAGAACTTGACTATAGAAAGTTACTGTGGTGATAGGGAAGATCAAGGCATAAACTTAGAAAAGGACAGTAGTGTCAAAATGGCTATATGTGAAGCCTCAAAGAAAAATGTAATTTGGTCTCAAGCAAATAAGAGAAGTAGAAGAAAAATTGGGAAGAGACATGAGAATAATGCAAGAGAACCATGAAAAAAAGAGTCAATGGCATGGGAAAAGATATACAAAAATTTA